ATTAAAAATTGAGCTAAATCTTGCTGCTACTCAATTGATTACGTGTTTCAGTCCGCCTAATCAATAGTTGGGTAACAATATACATCCAGAGGATAAGTCTTCTGCAGAATTATATTATATAGAAATCGCAGAAGACTTATATATGTTAGGGTATATATTCAGATGAAAAGACTCAGTATATTTTGCAGTAGAATTTAGATAATTTCAGCTAACACTATTCTGTATTTTTTTACCAGAATTATAAACGTAATAACTTGGCATCCAAGCTAGTATAAAACTAGCGAACTAATAGAACCTCTCTAGCTCCTCTCCAGTTCCATAACAGTTCTAGAAGAGTTCCATAACGCTATCATGACGCTATCACGACACCAAATTGGATTCTCAAATCACATGCCCAAAAGATCAACCAGAGTTATACCATAATATTGGCCGAAATTAATCACAGATCTACTGCATCACCTGTCACCTCATTTTTTATACCATTTTAGTATTTTAAAAGGCATTCAAAAAGGCGCAAAGGGTAAGCAATTTAATTAAAATCTAGCATTCAATCAGATATAGGAGGCCAGCACTCTTAACATAAAACTAGGTATCCAAATAGCTGCAGAAAACTAACAACCACAATATAGAAATTGATATGTAAAAGACTTAGAAACAAGAAGAAAAGCATGGTATTTAGATCTCATGGTGGTAGTTAGATTATATCTTTTAGATTATATGGTGATATTTAGATTATATGGTGATATTCAGATTATATAGTGATATTCAGATTATATGATAATATTCAGATTATATAGTAGTATTCAGATTATATGATGGTATTATAATTTAAGATAAGTAGAATACTACCATTTGATATAATTATATTAAATGGTGGTATTCCATTATAACCATCTGAATTGTCAAATGTATTTGTCTAATTTCTTATTTATGTAAATTGATCATAAATATAATAGCTGATTTTTGGTAATTGCTGATGAATAGCAAATGGTAATTTTTTTTGATTTTGATCAGTATAATACTATCACATATATTTAAATTTGTAATTTTAACTGCTATATTATTCTTATTCAATTTTATGTACTTTGTGTTTGAAATATCTGAATAGATAGATTCTCATTATTTAAAGAATTTGAAAAATCATATAATATTACAGATCTAATCAAAAGATCTTTCACAGAATCATCTGAATATTAGTTTCTAATATCTTAATATAATTTTTCTTCTTTTAAGTTAATTATTAATATGATTTATTTAGAATCTCACTCATTAAATTTTTGGTAAAATAAATGCTAAATCCTTTCCTATTTTTGGTTAGGTATAACAATTTTAGCTAAGGAAACTTATAATACTAAAAGGTGATGATATAAATTATTTATATCTGATTCTAAGAAAGTATAGAATCAGTCTTGATCTAATTTAGTATTCTATATTATTTTAAATAAAGATTTTTGTAATTTCTAATTTATGTATTTTTTATAATATTTTTAATAAAGATTTTGCAAATCTATTAAACATTAAAAAATTAATAAGATAATATTATTCACATTTTATTATAATAATTATTTTTATAAATATTAAATTATTTTTTAAAAATAATGCAATTATAAAATATCTTATAATACCAATTTCGAGATTTTGCTATTAAAATTACATTTCAAAATGTTAAACCAATTTTATAACACTTGAAATTTTACCATTATAATATGTAATTTTGCTATTAAAACTACACTCTGAAGTATTATTACACTAATTTTGTTACCCTTGTCATTTTGCTGTTAAAATTACATTCCAAAGTATTATTACACTAATGTTTTAATATAAATATAATGTTTTTTTTATTAAAAACTGTTTTAATTTCTAAAAACAATTAATTTTTTATATTTGCAATTAGTACGTATACCCCTCAGATCCCCTATAAATAAAAAGTTTATGTGTAAATTTTAAATTAATTTTTTAACTTAATTTTAATAAATGTCGATCATTTCTAAAATCTAATTTTATATTTTATGATCAATGTTGTACAAATTTTTAAGCATTTTTGCCGGACCTAATTTCTCGCTTTATTAATAAGCTAATAGCCTCTAAAAATTTAACCAAATAAAGTTCATTTAATATACTATAATATGAATCAAAAATCTCATTTTTTGTTGAAAGGTTCCCGTAACCAATTTTTTAATAGCACAATTCCCAAATAGTCATTATCATACAATCTACTTTTAGAGACGTAAAAATTTCGATCATTTGTTTACAACAATTTTGTTACACCAATGGGAACTTCTCTTAAGAAGGTTAAGAATGTTTAATTATGCACGACATTGTTATATATAGGTTTGAACCTGATCATAATAATCATGAATCAACTTAAAAATGAAGAAATGCAGAAATGCATTAGATGTAAAAAAAGAAGAAAACCTTCTGAAGAATATCATAATATTTGCCATAATTGTTATTGTACAAATACAACCTTTAATCCAATTGGAAACGAAATTATTGACGCTTTTATCAAAAGTACACAAATTCATAATTCTGCTAAAGACAAAATGGAGATTGTTCCATTTGATAGAATCAAACATGTAGAATTTATTGGTGAGGGAGGATTTAGTAAAGTTTATAAAGCTATTTGGATTTATGGTCCAACCAACTGGAACTTCAAAGAAAAAAAATATAATCGGGCTATTAAAGAAGTTGCTCTTAAGAAACTTAATAATTCTAAAAACTTTTCTTCTAAGGAGTTAAACGAGGTAAATTTATTTAATTTATACTGTATTTTATTTATCTTAATATATAAAATTAATTATGCTTTTTAGCTTAAAATATATTATCAATTAAGAAATGAATTTTTTTTAATTAAGTATTATGGAATTACGCAAGATCCTAATACTAAAGAATTTGTGATAATTATGGAATATTGTAATACAGGAGATCTATCCCATTATATAGCTAATGAATTTTTTAATGTTAGTTGGGATACAAAGTTACGTCATTTATATTTTATTGCAAATGGCCTATCAAATATTCATAGGAAGAGTATTATCCACCGTGATTTGCATAGTGGAAATATTTTGATAAACAAAAAAAGATATGTATTTGACGGCGCTAAAATAGGTGATTTAGGATTAAGTAAATCTGCTACAGTAGCTGACGATAGTGAAATTTATGGGATCATTCCTTATGTGGCACCAGAGGTTCTTCAAGGGCAAAAATACACTGAAAAATCAGATATTTATAGTTTTGGTATGATTATGTGGGAATATATGACAGGCAGAAGACCTTTTTGGGATCGTGCTCATGATACTGAGCTGATTATTGATATTTGTGATGGTTTACGTCCTCCAATAAGTAATATTAACGCACCTGAGGGTTATATTGAGCTAATGAAAGAATGTTGGGACCCTGATCAAAGTAAAAGGCCAACTAGTAAAATATTCGGGCCAGCTAGTGGCATTTCTAAAAGAATCAATAGAATTAGAAAGCTTGAAAGTAGTAATCAAATTAAGATTGTAGAATCATCAGAAATTGGACCAATAACAACAAACAATCCAGACGCTATTTATAAGAGTAGATCTTTAAATAGCATGATGAAATCCGCAGAATCCACAAGAAGTTTACGAAGTCAATCCTTTTCTTCAGACTTTGGTAATTAAAAATTTAATTTACAACCAGTTAAATAACAAATTTTGAATATATTAAAATTTTCAATAACCATTTTTCCTTTTTTTTAAAAAAAAAAGGTAAACGAATTTTTGAAAGCGATATCTTTGAAAATAATGACGGTATGATATAATTTCAATAAATTTATATGATTCAAAATATCATTTAATAATTGAATGTACATATCTGTATGATTTTATAGATAAAGGTAATAAAAAAATTAAATTGGAAGATAAACCTTATACAACAAAAGCATTAGAATATAATATTTAATTACGGATTTTTGAATAACAATGCAAAATATGTAACAATGCTATTAAAACGATCGGGTATATATATTTAAATATTCTTTATTTTTTTTTATCCTTTCTTATTCTTGATCATATTGTCGAAAAATAGTTGTAAAAAAAATTTTCTTATTTTATTATATACTTACTTATCTCTATGACAAACCATATTTATTATATTCGTTAAATAAACTTTCTTAAACCGATTTTTTTTTTATTCATGATAAACTTATTTGAAACTATTTATTTTTAGTATTTTTAGAAGAATATGCGACATATATTCAAAAAAAAAAAAAAAAAATCTACAATAAATAAAACGTGGTTTTTTAAATTTTAGCTTTTTTTATGTTAATTTTTGTGTTAATGCGATAAAGACCTATTTTTTTATTTTTATTTTTGATAGAGGATCTGATAAGATAAAGCCTTTATTATTTCTTTTAATATAATTAATTTTTTGGGTTCTTTTAATTAATTGGCAAATATAAAAGCTCTGGTTTGCTGTGTTTAATAATCCTTTTTTTTTATTTTGTACTATTCCGGTAAGGCTTATTATTTATTATTATTAATTTTTGGTTCGGATTTGATTTGGTGCGATATTTTTTTTTTCAATTTAATTCTATTAGTAATTGCGTTTAAGTATTCAATTTCAAGAAGATCTAGTACGAGCAAAGCATTTTTTTATTATTTTTCAGCTGAACAATTATTAGCCAAGAAAGACAAATCCGATCCGTAGTAAAGCATGAAGTAATGATTTTGGTATATTAATTTTGGTGAAACTGAGAGACGTTCACAGTTTTAACCTTAATCCTTTAGGAATTGGGTCGATCGACCAAAAATTATTTGTGATATTCAAGATATTATTTTCGTGAATTCAAAAGTCATAAAAAGTTTTGTTTGATGCATTCACTAGAAATATACTTATAAAAAGCCAAGAATAAGCTAGAGAATTGCCGATTAAGGGACAAGGAATAATTAGTAAATATGCTTCAAAAAAAAACGTTAAAATTTGCTGACTATCTTGATTATAATATATATCTGATATATTAATACGCTGTACTAAATTTTATCTCCATGTTTTATTTGGTTTGGTAATGATATTGTTATTTTTAAAACCTTTTTTTTATTGATATAATTATAATTGTTTCATAGGTTCGTTTTTTAATCTTCGAGATTTAACTCAAGATCAATGTCCTATACAGTTACCTCCTATTGTCGTAATGAAAGTAATTAAATGTATTTATTATTTTATTGAACACGATTGTAATGTAACGAAATATAAATGTAAAACAATTTTAAAAGAAATAAAATAAAGTTTTAAGGAAATTGAAATAATGAAATAAGTTTATTAAATAAAATGTTAAATGAATACAATAAATGCAACTATTACTACCTCTGTAATAGGCCTAAAAAGGATTAGAAGACTTGCGGCTTGGATGACGGAAATGCTAATTTATTGATCTCTGATGTCAAAAGAGGTCATCAGTCCTTGGAGTCGAGTCAATTCCAACAGATCGGACGTCGCGGTGTTCAAATCTAGGCGCAGTCAAAACCCGATACTATGAATTGTTAATCAGAGAGTAAAGAAATTATCAAATTTGCCAATACCATTTGGTAAATAATTAGAAATGAGGAATTGGTACTTCGATGGTATTAAATAACTTTCCAAAAAATATTTGTATTAAGAATTGGTAAATTCTCCTCTTTGGTTATTGGAAAATAGTTTTAATTGTTTATTTATTTATATTTTATTGACAATCTATTTTTTTGCAGCTTCTAATTCCATTTTAATTCACCCACCATTACGATGCTGCAAGACAATTTTCTCTTTTTTTAAATTATAAACCTAACGGTTTTCTACATTTGTACATACAAACCAGTTCATTGTAATACTTTATACATTATCGAACTATATAAATTACATAAAATGCATAAAATGAAGAAAAAAAAAATTGACAATTAACTCTTATATTTTATAAGAAAATTAGAATTCTACAAAAATCAGCAGCTTACAAATAAACATGAACAAATAATCAATATTATGAATATTAATTACAGTATATTATAAGAAGTTATTGATCGATTTCCAGAAGTTTCCTTTGAGATTACTAAATATTTCCCAAATTAAAATTCGATCGCTACATAAACTTGTCATATAAATATTACAATATATTTAAAATATTATACAAATTTGATTAATTAATACATTACATGATACTTTTCAGACAAAGTAATAAAATAGTTAAGATGAGAATTAATAATGATGATCACCGGTCATACCGTCCGTGACCGATTACTAAATTTATTTAATAAAAATTTATTTGTTTATTTTTTTTGCTTTGCAATAGAAAGTATTTATTATACAAAATAAATATAAATGTTTTGATTAATAAAAAATATTTAAAATTAAAATATATAATATAAAAGTTATTTATTTAGGTAATCTAAAGGTAATAATGATGAAATATTTTTTTAAAATATAAAATATCTTTAAAATTGAAAAAATTTTGACTTTTTTTTTTAATATAAAATGTTTTATAATAATAAAGTTTATTTTGCTAAAAAAATTTCAATAATATTTCTAAAGTTTTAAAAGTATTTTATTAATAAAAAAAAAACTTTTAAAATTATAAAATTGCAATGGTACTTTTATTAATAATTTCTTAGTAAGTAATATTATTAAAGTTGCAAAATTAAACTTTCTTAGTTAAAGTTATCATTGGAATTTTAAAGTGTATTTTACTAAAGAATCTCTTAATAAATACTTTAAAATAACTTTTATTTTAATAGGTTTGAAAATATATGAAATAACTTTTAATTTAACTTTATTAATAGAGAAATTCAAATATTTGATTTAATTTTATGAAATCTGTATTACTAAGATTGCTGTACAAAATGTAGAGTTTATACAGACATCTAAATAATAAAAGTAAAACTTGGTTAAATTATATTAAAACCTTATTAAAAAATCAGCAAAATTAGGAAAAAGGTAAAACTATATCAAAACTTATAAAAATGGTGAAACTATATTAAACACACTTAATAAAAAATTTAGTAAAACTAAAGAATTAAACATTTAGCCAAATCCAAAATGAGTATAGATAAACAACCTTATCTATTACTATTAATATTTTTAAATAAAATTATATGTAATATAATATTAAATAAAAATGGCAAAAATATGTTTAAATACTATTTCTACAATTAATTTAAAGGTAAATTAATCAATGAATTCATTTATAATAATTATAAAATACATATAGATACTTTGTAATAGAAAGGATAAAAACTGCTTTAAAAATGAAAAATGAGATTTAGTTAGATTTAAGTAAATTAATATTTTTTCAATTAATAATGAAGATCAATTGCATAGTAAGTATATTGAGTTATGCAAATTTTAAAAAAAAATGTTATACTAAATCAATTGGTATTAAAAATAATAAAAAGTATTATTCATTAATTGATAATCAATATCTAAAAATAGTTTCTTTGTTGTAGAAAACACGAAAACTTTACTAATAAAAAATAATTGGAAAATTTATCTTTAAAATAAATTATTTTATTATTTTTATTGCTGCAGATTATTGATCTATTTATATATAATTAAGGTTGCTGGACGAAATCAAGAGTTTAGACAGACGTCTAAATGGTAAAAGTAAAACTTGGTTAAATTATATTAAAACCTTATTAAAAAATCTGCGAAATTTGGAAAAAGGTAAAACTATATCAAAGCTTATAAAAATGGCGAAACTATATTAAACACTTAGTAAAAATTTAGCGAAACTAAAGGTTTAACCGTTTTGCCAAATCCAAAATGAGTTTAGACAAGCAACTTTATATATAATCAAACCTTCAAACTCAATTTAATATATTTGAGTTCCTATTCTTTCTCTTGCAAAGCATTTATATATACTATCCTAAATTGAGATCAAGTAATTATTAATTTAAAAAGAGTAAAGGAAAGAATAAAGTATAACATAATAAGTCTTATAGGCTGATAGACATTATTAGCTATTACAAATAATAACAAAAATTATTACATACCTACATTAGGAAATTATTTAGTAAGTTTTATTATGAATATTTACATTTTGTAATATTTTAAAGGTCCATGATCCTGTTATAAATCTACATTTTTTTTACGGTATAGTATTTCAAAGATTATTTTAGAATAGTACTTTGGAGTTTTGTAGTATTGTAAAGATTATTGAGGCATAATAGTTCAGAATTTTATAACTATTTAAAAGGAATTAATTTGAAATTTTGTCAGCATAAACAAATATTAAAGGCTTTTAAACTTCAAATTCGACATTATTGATAGTAATTTTGCATGCTCTCCAAGATTACTTTGAACACCATGAAAAGTTTTGAATATCAATTTTTTATTATTTACATTTTTTGTAAAGTATTAATTAATTTAATTTATCCAAATTTAGAAAAAATTAATCCGTAAGTATACTTATAATGCGAAGTACTATGATCGAAGCACGAAGTACGTATCTTCGAAGTACTGCGGTCGAAGTACTTCGAAGGTTTACTGAGCTGTAATATCTACGAAGAATTTCAACCGTAAAACTTCGTAATTATAACAGTGCTATAACCTTTGAAGTACTTCAATGATACTTCGTAAATATACGGAAGAGTATTATTGATGTATTAAAAAAATTAAGATGTCAGAACGGTTTTTTACAAGGTATTTATTAAAATTCTTAATTCTTTTAGCATCTATATCATTTTAAATGATATAATAGAAAATGTAAGCAACAAAAAAAAATATCAACTTATTAAATTTTTGGGTATGTCGATCTGCATAAGAATTCTCCCGGCTCCGGACAGGATGATTTGTTATAAAAAGGGAGGAACTGCCGGGAAAAAACAATTTACGACAATATTTAAATTTTATTTTGGATATACACCAACCATATTTCTTAAATTTGTATCAATATGGTAACTTTTAACTTTTATAACGTTATTTGGACCTCCTTTGGTTGCTCATTCCCATTATCATCAACATCCAGTTCAACAAGATTTTTTTCGCATTCCGGAAACTCCTCTCTTAATATCGTTAGCTTTTGAATTCCAGTATGAAGTCAGTCAACATTTCATGAACAGTTGCGCCACCTCTAATAAAAATAACAATCCCAAGTTTCAAATAGGGAATTTTCGCATCACATGGGGGATCATTGAATAATCATGTGAAAGAACTTATGACTTAAAAAATGCAAATCCCCCAATGGAATAATAAATGGCTCAATAAAATCGGTAATTTCCGGACCTTTATCTGCAAGCTGATGTAACATTTTCGAATTTTCTGTGACCATTGGCCATAATTAGAAAGATATCAATCATTTTTACACATCATTTTTTTTTATCATCATAAAACCTTTGTATAAATATTGTATATTTTGGGGAGCATTTTTTTTTTTTTTTTTTTTTCTCCCTTTCTTTTTCTTCATGATTCTTAGACATATTCAAAGATCCCAATATAAAAGTTGTATCGTTACTATTCTTCGTAATAAAATGGTGAATAATTTTAATGGCGTTAACCAATCTGTATCAACATCACCATCATCTTCTATGGAAAATACTTTTATTAACAACAATTTCAAAAGAAAAATGTCAAATTCATCATCGAGCGACAACTCTTCTTTAAATCCTACCCCTACAAATTCTTTTACAAACCTTTCTACTTCATCATCGGAAGATCCTATAATTTCTATTGAAGATATCTCATCGGAAAATCCATGTTTCTCTTGTCAATCTCCATGTTCAATTCATCCTTCTTATCCTTCTAATTTAAACATTAATCGTGTGGCAAATCTACATGATACTGTACAGCCACACATCCGTCATGTTATAATTTCAACAGGAAAATCCGATTGGAATAAAATAATTGAATTGGATTCCGGGAACCTTTCGGCGGAATTGTATAATTATCAACAACAAAAGCAAAGACAAAAAGAAGTTAAACAAGAAGAAAATAAAGTATTAATTACGAATAGTGATAGACAGAATTCCACTTTATCATTTTTAACATTTCTTTCTTTTTGGGGAAATGATGTTTTGATATTCCCCGATAATTTAATTGTGCGTAATGTTACAACGGGTAAAGCTAAAGAATTTTATGATCGATTTTTATCAAATAAAAAGTTGGATGATAAAGAAACATTAAAAACTGGATTTGCTGTTGAAAACATTAGTTATAAATCCGTAATATTAATTTGTGGTCACAAAACTCGTGATATAAGATGCGGAATTGCTGGACCAATTTTGAAAAATGAATTTGAAAAAGTATTAAAGGAAAAACGGATGGATTTGGTTTCTACCGGAAATAAAGGAGTGCCGGTTTATCTCTCGAGTCATGTTGGAGGTAAGTAATTTTCCTTTTTTTTATAATTTTTTTTTTTTTTAAAAAAAAAAAGAAATGCTAACATTATTTTATAAATCAGGACATCAATTTGCCGGAAATGTCATTGTATATCGAGATGGCCATGGCATATGGTACGGTCGCGTAACACCTTGTCATGTTCCGATGATAATTGAAAAAACGATAATTGAAGGAAAAATAATTAAAGATTTATATCGTGGGTCAATGATTAATGGCAAAAAAGAACAAGCATCTTTAGATTGGTAAAAAGAAGTACAATTTCGTTTATCCCATTTCGTATAGACTCGATCTGAACGAATAAAATTAGATTAGTTATTGAGTTATTTGGAGGCTTTTAGATTTTCAATTTCAATTTTCTTTATATGCATTAATGGATTATTTTACAATACTTTAATTTAATTTAGTTGGATTTTTATCGAGCTTCAGAATGGATCATGATTACTACTGCACCGCATCTGAACCTCAAAAAGTAAACCTTATTTGATTAATTTGTAATTTTCACACTTTATTGTTATATTGCAAAACACCATATTATTTTTTATTTTATTTTAAAAAAAATTAACATTAATAATTTCAAATTGAAAGATGATGATGGATGGTTCGAGTAAGAATATTAAATACTTTGAATAATAATTTAAATATAATCTAATATTTAGGATAATATATTTTGATATGACTATATTTTAAATTAATAAATAAAAAATTAAATTTTCATATCCAACGTCTAAATGAAAAAAGTAAAAATTTAGTTTATTACAATTAAAAAGAAATAATTCATTTTATTTGAGATAGTTTATTATTTTAATTAATAAAGCTTTAATAAAACTGCCAGATTAACTTAATAAACATTTAAACTTCAACAAATTATAAACCAACCATCAAAACATTAAATCTAATCTCAGAAAAAAAATTATAAAATTAAGCTATTTTTGATCACAAATTTTGAAATTATAAACAAACGCTTACAACTTTTTTACAACTTGAACTAACTATATTCGCCATTTTAAATAACTAGTATAACACGCCATCTTTAGAGATCAACTACGTGGAGGTTGCTAATAACTCCCCACAAGCTTAGTAGTGTAGTCTTCTGAGGAGACGATCATGGGGAATATTATCTTTATTTGAAGCTTTCCCACATTATCAATAGAAAAAAGAATTGTAACAATGATGGAAATTATTTCTTAATTCAATAAGGAAAATGAAGTCTAATACTTTGATTAAAGGAGCATTATCAAGCCAAGCAACCAAAATCATATTACCATATTGAAATTTGATAAAATGGCGTGATATCACCACTTCATTTTCTTAAATCTTGGATTAACTATGTGAAATCTCTTTCTTAGTCAAAGGGTTTCATTATATAATGTCCCAGGTGTGAATATTATTTAAAGAAATGTTTGCAAGCTTGTCATGAAAGAGAAGGTACGATATGCTGTAAAATTAGATATTCAATTTTACAGAAATTCATTTTATCAGAATGAATATTTTTTTTTTTTTTTTTTTTTTGAAATGCGTTTTGGTTTAAGTATGATTGTTATACATAAATTTGGTCTATTGGTGAAGCAAAATGATTAGTCAATGATCATCATCGGCTGTTAAAAGGTGACAAAAAAATATTGGGGATGAAACAGGTTTTGTGCTTTATTGTAATGTATGCGATTCGATGTAAAACTATGTCAATCACATGTGAAAAATGTAACATGAAAAAAAAATATATTGCCGGTTATGGAAATAAATTGTATTTTTTTTTGACATTTATTTATCACGTGAAAGTGGAGGGACTGGTAATGATTCGTTCATCCAAAGATTAGGTTTATAAATCCGCAGCATTTATCCACGATTGAAACTATAGACCGATCCAGACGACGGTCTTGGACTATAGCCCGAGTTTCTTTTTGAAATGGTGAAGACATTATTGGTTAAGCTCATGGAATGTGCATGTGACAAACGCCATCTCTAAATATTCATTTATGACATAATTTGAGTATAATCTATCAATAAACTATTTCATTTAAGTAATAACATAATTTTGTTTGTTGTATATAACTGATAACAATCATTCTTTTTCCGATTTGTTTTTTTTGACAAAATATAAATATTATGTCGCAAAAGGAGAAAAAAGGCATGATCAACTTTTTTTTTACGATCGGTACATTTTTATTATAATAAAAATTAAAATATGTAAATTTCTGTTAAATAATCATTAGAAAAAGATGTTGAAATTCGTGATATAGATGTAAATCCTAGCAATGAAACGTCAACCACAACAAAAGTATCGCCAGGTGACGATTTTACAAGAAGGATTGAAAATCCTTCGTACTTTCGTGGAACTCAAGATCGAGTTACGGGATCAATCAAGGTTCTTTCTTTTCTTAATTTTGGCTTTTTTTGTCCATTCGTTTATTATTCACTTTTATAATTTTATTTTAATAGGAAGGAATCGGAAAACTTATTGGAAATGAAGGTTTGGAGGACCGTGGCAAAAGTCAAAAACAAAAAGGTCAACGTGAAATTATTAATGTTCAATCCGGTAATGATAAATATGATGATCATATGATTTATGATGATTGGAGTTAAAAACGTTGTGTTACATTGCTTTTATTATAGAAATATTTGATACAGTACTTTAGAATTGCCCTGACTTTTTTGTAAAATTATTTTACCTATACTTTATCAAAATCTATTTTCCGATGTAAACGATTTCAAATGATTTTATAGCTTAATAAATACTTTTCTCCCTCATTTTGATGAAGAAAATTGTTTTTTTACAAAACCATTCTATTAAACAAATATTCTATTTCTCTTTTCGATTATGTAAAATATTTGGAAATTAATCCAGATTTACTTATATCAGTTTATTCGACTCGGAGAATGAAGTACGTACGTAATTACGTCATCATTCGATTTATAATTTTACCAGAATTAAGAATTTAAGCTAATATTTTAATTTAACGCAAATTTTAATATATAATATTAATTTTTAATACTAATATTGTAGAAATTAACCATTGTTACAACCTTACTTAGCTCTTGTAAATTTTAAAATTATTAATAATTTTTGCTTATAATTTATAATAATAGCAAACTATCCTAATTAATATAGTTTTGTCTTTATAATAAATGTTACATACAGTGAATTAAAGCTATATATGATGTTAACAATGTTAATGAATTTTTTTATTATGTTATACTGAAATCAAAAGATAATGTTTGCAAGTATCTAATTACTGTATAGCAATTGCCTTATATAGTACTTCACTTGAATAGTATCTTACCAATATCTGCTATATAAGTACAAATATAAGAAAGATTTTATGTTTAATTAAAACATGTGATCTAATATATTTATATTATAAAATAATCTCACCCTTTATATAACATTTTTCTTTTAGCAATTCTGATGAAATAATTTATCATATGATATTTTCTTAAATAATACTAAATATAGTAGTCAATATTAAATGATATTAGTTTTGTTAATATGTTAGCAATATACAGTACATGAAGTCGAAATGAAAATCCAAAAGTTGAAAATTTTCGACTTTGAAAGTCAAAGTTGAAATGAAAAGTCAAAATGGTCAAAATAATGTCATATCACATGATTTTTATATAGAAAAAAAATGTACGATCTCAATCAATATTGCTCTGATTTTTATGAAATAACTACCATTCGATTCCTTAGGATCTAGCAATTCTGTCTCAGCTAGTAATGACTAAGGTTGCTTGTTTAAACTCATTTTGGATTTAGCAAAATGGTTAAACCTTTAGTTTCGCTAAATTTTTACTAAGTGTTTGATATAGTTTCGCCATTTTTATAAGCTTTGATATAGTTTTACCTTTTTTCAAATTTCACAGATTTTTTAATAAGGTTTTAATATAATTTAACCAAGTTTTACTTTTACCATTTAGACGTTTATCTAAACTCTTAATTTCGTCTAGCAACCTTAGTAATGACTGAGATCCTATTATAGGTTACACTGCGATAAATCCTAGTTCAGCCTTTAGTCATAGAAGATTGTAATTATATTTACAGGATTTATCAGTTTGATTCTAGGAATGAATTTCATAGAATGCATACAAACTATATACGTAGTAGATCTGAATTTGTAGAATATAGTGACCTCAGCTAGGGATGACCTATGATAGGTCAAACTTGACAAAAAATGGGAACATTATTTATAGGTTAATATCATATCGTCTGTAATATAAAACCCAAAAGGATAGTATCTAATAGTAGATGTTGTGTAATAGTTACTCAATAAGTACTTCATCATCTCAAAAAGATGAATGGTAATGATTACAGGTAGTTAATATTGCACTGTCTTCAGCTATAATATATTATATAATATTGTGAAGTTTGCTTCCAGAAAGATTCTAGTCCCTTATTTCAGTGAGGCTTACTTTTAGAATGATCCTTTTAAGTCCCATAAGGAGATATAATATTATCTTTCCATGACATCTAGGTCTTATATTAGAGGTAGAGATCAGGTTCAATTTCTGGGTTACTTTGACAATATGAGTATGAAGTCACCATAGTTATATGTTATTTATAAGATATTGTAACTTCCGTAATATAAGCTATGTAAGGCTACTTTATATTAAGCCAAACTGTTTAATCAGATATGAAGTGTTGTATCTTAATGGTATAATGCAAGTATTACAGATAGTTTTACAGACCTTGGTCATAGTTGATAACTAATTCTTTAGTAAAGTTAGTGTAAATTAACACTATGATAGAATGATTCCTCTATTCAGTAGTATAGCTAAATATCTAATATGCTTAATTACTATGCTGGTGACTATAAAGAAACCAGTAGAAAGTTCTAATGGGATTTGACTATGTTGAGCAGGATTCTTGATACATCAAATAATTTTGAAATAAAAGTACAGGGATGATGGTATTGTGATATATATTATAAAACATACTAGTCTAAAGAGTTACTTATAAAGTCTCTATACATTTATTTTAGATAACTAGTACGCAAATTATAGAATTATTATACTAATTCTAAGTCCAGAATAAAGTCTAATAAAAAACCCCATTTAATTCCTTACGACTCGATAAATTTAATAAGCTAATATTCATTGATTTTGGATCAGCTCATCTCGAGATATTTGCGATTGAATTTCAAAATCCAGATTCCTTTATTTAAAGTAGAATTTATTAATTTATAATTTTGACCAATAATACAATTGCAATTATCTTGAGATTGGATAATTTGAAATCAATATATGTTTGCTTATTGAATTCGACTAGTCATGAGAAATCAAATAGTAGTTATTTTATATGAATTAGAGCAATATTAACCAAAAACATACATCTTTTATTTTTTTATATATAAAAAATCATATGATATGATATCATTTTGACTATTTCAACTTTTTAACTTCCAATAGTCAAAATGACTTTGACCATTTCGACTATTTTAGATATCTGTAATGATTTATTTCAACTTCATGTATAGTTAGCAAGCTTGCTAACCTCAGATATCTCAAGTTTTTCTATTATATTAGATTACACTTTTACAATATTCTATTTAAATATGATATTCTAACTAAATAATATAATATTGAATTCAAATTAGATATTTAGAATTACAAGTATTATTAATATAAAAAAAATCATTTTAGCTATAATAAACATTCTCACTATATTTATTAATAATTATAAATCATAAATTAATTATAACTAAGATTTTATAATTCAGTTTAATAAGATACAAAATGATCTTATGCAACTTATACTTC